GCTGGTAAGACCCCCATTAGAAGAGGGCGTCTTAACGATACCCTCCCCCTTAAATGACTTTGGAAGTATTGGTCTACAGGGTACAGCATCGTGATGTGTGAAATGGTGATATAGGTACGATCCCCCCCCTCCGAGAAAGGGACTAGGACCCTCCCCCCCCATCCCAACACCTAACCTAGCAATTTCCCACATTTTCCAGTTATTCATTCAAAGATTTTCCTCGAGCGGGGCTAGGATGGAGGGGGGATATAGTACACATGAAACAGGAAAAATCACGCGAAAAGTCAACAACCAGGAGAAATGTTTTCCCAACGCAGCAAATTGCTTTTAAAGGGCACATACAGCCCCTCCTCTTCCAACGACCGAATACGACCCCCCCCCTCCCTCTATGTGTTTCGCACAACGATGCTGTACCCTGTTGGTTTAACCTCTGCGGCTGCTCGCGCATGCGAGATCTGAGCGCTGCGTCACCAGCGGACTCCCATAGGACTTCCATCCTTCTACAAAAATATTGTAGAACTGCCTTAGCATCTTCCATATGATCTTTTGCCAAACGGTAGACTCGATCCGGGTTGAGGAGGGTCTACTCAAAATACGCGGAATCTATCCCATGTCTGGTGTGGAGGCCTCTGTCCAGAATGTCGCTGAACTTTTCTTTGCAAGCGAGCATTGAGCGATGGGCAGCAGAACTTTCATAATCTGGCAGTGAAAATCTGAAAAAGTAATAAAGGGGAGCGAGCTGAGTATGGCGGAAGCGGCCGTCAGCAAAAATAGACACGCAATTGGGATTTATGCCCGCCGCTCCACCAAGCAACAACTGAGCGCCCCCGCATTAACTGCAAAAGGGGGGGGGGCTTTTGTAGATAGGCTCCATTCGAGTGGGTGTCAAGACTTGAACTCGCAATGACTGCAGCATTTCGTCACTCACTGTGAATCGAGAAAGCGGGACAGCATCTGAGTCGGACGTACGGGTATGTGGCAAGAGAATTGTAATTCGCCGCGTAACCGGGCGGCCGCATGCGACGTCGTGCTCGACGATTTCAGGTGATACTGGTTGGGACTAGACAATGTGTGATCATAAACAGACAAAAGTGTTATCAATATCTTTGCCTACCATGTTCAATCAAAAGGTGTAGTGCGAATTCAGGAGACGTCGCGCCATTGCCGGCGCGATTATACGTTTATTCTTGCCGCGTCTCCCTCGACGTACACTGTACGGTTGAGGCTCGAGGTCTGGCTTTGAAGTCTAGTATATATCTGATAAATACTTCAAATGTTGACTAGGGCTTATTAACAGGTTGATTCATCTATGGAGACCAGTGGGTATGTGGCATGAGAATCGTATTCGCCGCGACTGGGCGTGGCGTGCTTATAACGGCGACTTAAGGTGGCATTGGTCGAGAATAGACAATGTATGACCAAAAATAGATAGTATGATTGTCTACCATGTCCATGTCTACATGAAATCCGATGCTCCAATTGAAGGAGTATTGTACTACTAAGGGAATAACGCGGAGGCGGGCTAAGCAGAATCGTAAAAGTTGCCGCGCTTCGTCGCGCCCATTGCTGCGCGCGACGAAAGCGGCAATTTACGATTCTCTTACCCGCCTCCCGCGATCAGTAGCCCAACTGACCATGGTTAACAGATCAGAACTGAATACCTATCAATGTTCAAATGAACTATTTATCAGTGCATCAGAAAAGGACACTAGGTAGCTCTTTACTAGCCAAAGGTAGAGCATTAAATCAAGGGGTTCCTGCCTAGCAGATCCAGTAAATTCAATTCTATCGCTAAGTCGAGGTGAAGCCTAGACGTTAATGAAATTTCCAGATAAGACGAGAATCACTCGACGTGCCAATGTCAACAGATGATGAGAGCGTGGGGACCAAACAACAACTGATAAGCGCCTGCAATCTAAATGTGAACTTTGCCGTCTGCGTGGTACACAGGATGATATGGAAGCGCTCACATCATAATGTTTACCAAACAAACCTGTCGCGAGCGGGGGGGGGGGGGGGGGTGGGGGGGGCGGGGGGGTGGGGGGGGTTCTGGGGGGGGCGTTCTATTTAAAAAAAATGAATATTCGAATCTATGCGCAGACAACACGTCCTGTACAAATCGATAAGTGCTACTCAGTCAGGCCGAGTACTGGAATATGGGAAGTGGACGCTAACGTGGTTGGGGAGGGGTTGATGGACCTCCTCTTCCTGGTCTCCGTATCCCTTCCTCGAAAATACTTAGACTCAGAGCACCAGAGCACAAACTACCAGAGTCGCTGGGGGATGGTCCCCAGAGAACACAGCCGCCATCAAGCCCATAGTGCAGGAACGTGTCAATGCTCACTCCAACCGACAATCGAGCGTGAGGGGGGGGGGGTAGTGGTACTATAGTTGAAGCGAAAAAAGTATTCAAAATCACCCCAAAAATCTCCAAAAACCACTGCCTCTAATGCAGATCCCTCCTGACAACCCAAACACGACTCTCCCCCTAACCTGAATACCGCACCCCTCATAGTGCGCAACAATTATGAGCAGTGTCCAGTAAAAGCAGAAATGAGAACACACACACACACACGAGTATTACATTTTTCAAAGAAAAGTTTTAGTGAGCAACCCGCGCTCTTGATGGAGGCTGCATTTTGTTAATTAATAAATGAATCATATTATCGATTGCGCTACAGCAATGAAAACAAGCAGAAAAACTGACGGATAACTAAACTTAGAATTCCCTGAAGATTTTCTGAGAATGATAATATCTGATGAAGTGAATAGTTGGGCTTCGAGAACATTGAATCAGCCCTTTTCAGTCGACTCTCGCATACAATTATCATACGATTACTTTCTAGAAAACACGAGGACCCATGGCATATCATTTGAAATAACGCTAGCTGAAGACTATTACTATGATACTCGGGTAATCTAAAGTTTAAAATAGACAAAACAGAAATCGCTAGAATTCAGGCGCTTTAGTTCTGCTCAGACCTCCTGCGCTTCTCTCAAAAGCGGCTGGCCGCCCCCCCCCCCCCCCAGCGCCCTAAATCGATTAATCCGATAACCTATCAACTTCCTGTTCACGTCGAACGCTGATGGAAATCAAAATCAGGCTCATAGGAGTTGGCATTTTCTGGGCCATTTTAGAAGAAAGAGGGCCATTTTACGCGCTACAAGGCCGCTTAAACCCTTGCTAAAGCTAACGAATATGGTGATTTCTCTGATCAAGACGGCACGCCGCATACAGGGATGTGAGAAAGTAAAGTATAAGGATAAAGTCTTTGCCGCTTACCCGTTATGGGATGCGGATTCTACTTCCATTCAGAATCAGTGGCTTATTGAATGCGATGTGGCCTCTACAATGACTTGCGAGGCCAGCTGAGGCAGCGTGCAGACTTCGCGGCGGCAGCGCTTCGGTCGCGCGTTCGACGCGATCGATGCAGTTGAAAGCATGCGCATCGATTGCGCCGAACGCGAGACCGAGGCGTTGCCGTCGCGAAGTCTGAATACTGCCTGATTAGAAATCAGTGTTCTTATCCTCCCAAACAAATCTAGTACTGATTTCTCGCCCCAGGAGGGAAGGTTGCGTTGACCTGGGCGAGAGTCTATCGAGGACTAGAAAAACCGAGCGAGTAAGCGAGTAGAGTAAGGTAAACGTCCCACTTGCCACTACACCGCCTCCGCCTCATTGAGAAAAATGTTTTCAGTTATTAACTTTCTTCAGTTTTTCCGCTCTCGCGTGCGCTCTAGACAATCCCCACAGCGCTTGTCGGTTTTTTTTATGAAAGCCGAAGAGGTTTTAGAAAAAAAATCCGCAAAAGTGGTAAGATGTTGGAAAAGTTCAGGAAGATGGTAGATATGATGGGGGTTGAGGAAATAGGGTCGTATCAGAGGTGGAGCATTTACGCGGGGTCTGTGCACTGTGCAAAAATCCACCCAACAGCACGACATACCGTGATGCCCTTACAAGGCTATTTCACCTATTTTCAGAAACTTCACCCTGAGGGAGCCAGATATGTTTCTGCTAGGCGGTTTTCCTTATGCAACGACTGGCCAAAAAGAGCATCAAGAGGTGCTGAAGAGGTCGATTCCTTCGGAGTACTTCAGAGTAGGCCGCGTTCAGACCCACGGATTCCGCAGACTGCACAGAATCTGCGGAAAAAAAAGAATGCCCATAGCATCAACTCGAAGAATCCGCGGAATCTGAAGAAACACAGTGGCCGGAGGTAAACAGTCAATTTCTATCATTTCTTCTTCAAAAATTTCACTGACTCTTCCTATGCGGCGCGTTCTGCGGAGTCTATGGATTTCGCGGAATATGCGAATTCTTCAAATTGATATCTTTCCTCCGCAAACTGCGTGGAATCTTTGTTATGAATGCGGCCGTCGTAAGAAATGCCCCACTTGCTACCAGTCGCGCCATGAAACATTCACTGCGGTTTACAGAACTTTACGAAATTGTCTGGCATGCAGAAAGAAGTTTAAAAACGCCCCATCCCACCCAAACTGATTTGTGACCTCAGTGTTCCTAACTTCGAACTCAGGTCCAATAGACGAGGGAAAACGCTTATGAAAACGGCCACATCGATGAACATGGAAACAAAGCGTGAATTTATACACATACAGACAATTTGGCCCGCCCAAGCACAACCCAACATCTGAACCGCCAAACTATCGAATCCAACAAATGAACGACTCATTACGACCCAAAGAAAGCATAGAAAGCTCCGGAAGAAGCCCCATTCAAAGAAATTCCAACTCTGCACCTTACAACTAGCAAAAGATCTAGTCAAAACCGAGAGGGTTCGCTGGGAACGAGCAATCATTGAGGAACGGATTCACGAATTGGCTAAAGGGCCGGTGGCTACCGTAACCGCATTTAATTGGGTCGCGCTGCCCAACTCGTCCACAGCGGACGAGTGCTAGGGGTGGGACTTTCTGCGGCTTCTCTTCGCCTTGAATTTTATCACCTGGCCTTTGCGGCACTGCTGCTCCATCCCACATTCTGAATGGAGGGCACAGATGTGGGTTCTCTTGTCTCTTGAGTTTTCTTTTGTTTCCATTAAACCCTAGGATACGGCCTACTTCAGGCACTTACCAATGATTCATCACTATTACCGGAATCAGCTTGTAAATTGCACTGTGATGAAGCCGTCGAGAAGCGATTAATGTCTCAGATCGATACGCATTCGGAATGTGGTTCGGAAGCTGACTCGAAGGGGAAGGACGCATTTAAGTACGAGATTCGTTTGTTCTGAGTATTTTTACTTTCAGAGTGTTAAGTACACAGGCTTTATTGCAGCCAGAATTCGAAGAAAGTCCTGGTGATGATAACCATCACGTTTCTGTTCTTCTTCGTTGAATTGGTCGTCGGTTTTATGAATCGTTCAATCGCTTTACTAGCCGATTCGTATCATATGCTCTCTGACGTCATGGCTTTGGTGATTGCATTCGTCTGCCTGAGGGTGAGTTCTCCGTGCGTTTTCTTCACTAGCTACAGGCGCTCATATTGCACAGATACGCAGTGCAGAACGTTATTTGGGCGCAGTTTGAGGACGGGGGGCATTTTTGTAGCCAGTCATGCTTCCCTAGTTCCGGTTTACAAGTCTCACTCTGGCGAAACCTGTGAACTCTTGTGAAGCTGGAGCAAGCTCATCTAGCCATCATGGTAAAACCTGTCAACTCGAGAAGAGGCTGCCTAGATAGGTCGACACGTCGATGGGAAGTAGTGCAAAATGCCCCCCTCCGTCTCAAACTGCACCCGTCACTTGTCAAGCCGAGTTCATACTCTGTTGTAGAGGAGCTCCGGCGATTCGAGAGGAACGGCGATTTGGTACATTGCGCAACTAGGGCAGTACAGGTATTGATGTGGCGACAACGGAGATTGAGCGATATGGTGATTTGCAAACCTCCGGATCACCGAATTTCCGCCGTCGCTAGCGACTTGCGCCAGTCGATAGCCATCCCACATTGGTGCGTGATCGCGAGAAACGCCAATTAGAAGCAAAGAAAACAAAATATTAAAAAGAATACACTCCAAAGCACAGATGATCCGTTTCGCCCGTTATCGCAGACGAATCATCGTTGTCTTACCAACCCCCGGGCTCGTCAGTGCGACAGGGTTGACGACATGAGGACATGGACTACATAGGGGAAGGAGTTGAGAAATAGGATAAAACGAGAGAAATCTCCCAAATCGCCGAATCGCCCATCTCCGCGATTGCCGGACCTAAATTTTCCTCGTCGCGAGGTCTTGGTGAATCGCTGTATCTCCAATATAGCCGAATCTCGCTTAGTCGCATGGCATGAATGCGGTTTTAATATCGTGCGACATTGGAAGTCGTGGAATTTGAAGGATCAGCGAGATGGGAGAATCTGGGAGGTCACGAGAAGAATGTACAGTCTTGTTCGCTGCGGATGCCGGACCGTGTACG